GCCGTAGGCCATTCTGTCCCTCTTTGTGGCTCTTCAGCAGGGGGTCAGCTTTGGAGATAGCTTTGCAATCAGCCACCACACTAAGCAATCACCAGTGTATCCATAAGGAGGGGTTCCATTTGAAATTATGTGAGCTTCATTTCATACTAAATGGTAAAAAAAAAAAAAAAAACTAGGCTGCTTTTTTTCCATCCTTTTACATTGTATTGTTGTCTATGGAAATCACCCCTAAGCTGGTGTAATCAGAGCATTCAGTGTGGGGCATTTTCGTCAGCATTTTACCTTTTCAACCTTGTGCCAAGAATGAAGAAAGTAAAGTGTTCTGAGGATTCACAGTCATGATAGTTAAAGTGTGGAATATGGAAGAAATAGGCTAACAGAAGAAAAGCAGCCTCTATCCACATCCGACGGGCACTGTATTACCTCTGCAGCCCCTCGTAATGTCCTACTAGATTTCTTCAAATTTATCACAGAGGACTGGAAGAGTAATGGCGATGTAAGAAAACAAAGTCCACTAGGGACGTGTACTACATCATTCAGATTTAACACTGCCATCTGTTTCGGGTGCCCAGGAACGGCAACATCAGTGCTTAAGACGAAGCATTTACAGAGATGACAGATGCTCTAGAGAGGCAGGGTCTTTACCTGTGGAAAAGTAGGCCTGGGATCAGATGCCTGATGAAAGAGACACGCTTATCTAATAGGTGTTGTGTTTGCCTCTAATGGTGCACGCCTGCGCTTTAGACAGATGTGGTGGGAGGGTTTTCTTGGCCAGTGAAGTTTAGGGAGACACAAACCAGCGGACGCCTTCCGCTAATGAATGTCAAATCAAAAGCTGACCTATTTAGAAAGTCAAAGCACTTTCACACCTATGACAGGGCAATATCTCGAGTGAGATCTAACCACCCCAGGCACCTCATCTCATGCTTGTGTTCATGCTGCCAGCTGTGCAAGTTGAAGCTGTGATCTGGGATAAATGATGATAAATGAAGAATGTACAGTGGAGAAGGTTTTTGGGTTAAAGTTTCCCAAAGTTTTTTTTTATCTCATACCAATTCAAATTACTTTTACTCACCAACATTTCTTCTTTTACTCGAAGGAACCTGAAATTCTCAAATGAAGCCAGTGACTGGAGAAGTGCTGCTATCATCTGCGTGATGATACTGTTTGTATGGAGATACAAATATAACAAGCAAGAGTGTTGTTTGTGTCGCTTGTGTTTATGCATTGCAACACATATTTCATGAATACGTTCAAGTATTCTTGCTGTTTGCAATTTCCAGTCAGCAGTAATTCCCAGTAAAACCACATGTTTAATGCTTAAATTTAGCTAAATGATACAGCTAAATTGATCAGTCACTTAACAACTTGTTGTCTGAAAGCTTTCATCATATGTTGTTCTCCTACTTAAAGCAGCAACAAGGAATTTTTTTTTGTGTTGATTCTGGCGCCCCTGTGGACAAAAGTAGTATTGTTTCCACCACCTCATTTGATTGATTTCAAAGTGAATCCGACTGAATCCGAGCCAGTGGCAGGCATTAGGTATAACTATAAAGAAATACCCAATCTTCTCGCTGATGGTCTTGTTTGTTTATGTAGGTATCAGTATTTAATTTATATTTTTTCAATACAGTTACAACCTCCTTGTAGTAGATTTAATGGCCAGATAACATAGACATATCTTTTCTCACCAAGGGTGTTATTATAATACTTTCCTTTGAGAATCTTTACTGTATAGCATCAATACAAAAAATGTCAATTTCAGTTAGAATGCTTAGATTACAGATACACTACAGAGTGGTGATTGATGTTAAATGTGCTGTAGGACAGCAGATGCTGTTGAATTTTTGGCTCCACAAAGCAGAATTTTACCGGAATCCTTGACCTTCAGGATGCATCTCTGGGCTCATCGGTCTCTGTAATTGAGAAGAGAAAGTAACTGTGGAGAGAAGTTGTGTAGCAATATTGATAAAATGTCACCTCAGAAATTAGAGGCGCCTAACAGCTTTTGTTGCACTCTTCTCCTTTGTGCAAAGAGCAGCTTTCAGCACAGCAGACTACTATTATTGGTCCTTTCTGCCTTTAGCAACAGAGAAACTTCAAGAGTTAAGGGGAAAAAAAGGCTTCTGTTTTTGCAACCGTTTTTTTGTGAGATAAACATACTGAAAATAAATGAAGGGAAAAAATGCTGACAGCCTACAGCATGTAAGCAAGCCTAAACAGTGTTAGCATTGCTGTGCAGCATCGTGGTTTGTGTTATTTGGATGTTATTTTATTGTTGAATATGACACAGAGCTGTACACGAAAGCCCAGGATTACCCAATATGTCACATACTTTCCCATATGTCTGCAAGCACCTGTGAATTGTGGCAAATTGATTTTCTGACATTCATAAAAATGTATGCTTATTTTGAAGGCGACCTCTCTGGAATACACCCCTGCATTTTAGCATAATGCGAAATCTAATTATTTAGTACCCTGTCAGGTCTTGTCTCAGGGTACGCAACGTGACGAGCCAAGACATGCATTCAGTGCTCTTATGTCTCTCTGTCACCCTCTCTTCTCCCTCCCTCTGTCTCTGTCGGCCAATGAGTGGTGTCAAGGATATTGCAGTGACTTGACATCTGTGGCAGATGCATGGTGACACCTCTGCCGCGAGGGCTGACTGGAAGCCTCACGCTCAGAGCAACAGCAGCTGGCCTCGCTTCTTGGAGGGAGACTATACTAGCACAGGGGAAAAGCCTTGTTTGCTTCTGCTGGCTTGGCATTGTTTGTATTTGAATTATGAACTGTGCAAAATTTATGCTAAGCCTGACTTAAGGCAGAGGCCTCTGTAGGGAGCTGTCTCATGTCTCATTGAGCCGCCATAGCGCTCTTAAAACGAATCCTCCCACTGTCCTCAATTGGTCATGTTGTCTTGTTCATCCTTACCAAGAAATTGTTGCAGTAAAGAATACAGCAGCCAGTCAGTCTGTCATGTTGTATGTAGAGAAGCAGTATCAGTTGTGGGGAGGCTGCCAAAGGCATCACTCCATCCAAAATACAAGACAGTATATTTTTTTACTTGCCTTTATTTGTATTTAGCAATGTAGAGCATTTTACAGTTGCTTTAAAAGTAAATGTTTTTAATACAAAGCAAACCCAGAACACACTGTTTTTCCTGGTTTTCAAAGGAACTACTTTCTACTGACAAAATAGTCCCTAATAAAACTGCTGACACTGTGTCCAAGGATTTTCAACAGAACTGTTCCTGGAAAGACGCATTGCAGTTAGATCTTTCAACATTTTTCAGCACTGGGAGCACCATAAACACAATTGTATTTACTTACATTGGATTAGCATGAAGAGATGGATGGATCTCAGACATCTCAAAACCTGGGCAAACCAAAACTCTCTTCACATGCAGCAAGAGGTATCAGGAGGGTTTTTGTGATTTAAGTGAACTGAGGAGGAGTGGCTGTTTTGCTCTAATTTTGTTAGCATGAATAAGAATATAGCTAAATATTTAGTGAATGGCAGAGCGGATCATCTGAAGTTTTCTTTTTTTCACACCAAGTTGTCCTTCTGTGCTCTAAAAGGGAAATATACATCATTCATCATTCAGCTAAATTGTAGCATTTAGCATGATGTTAACCGGTCTTTAAACAAGATTGTAGGTGTCTTTTTATAACTGGCAAATTTCATTAGCATGGCAAACAGAAATTTAATGGAATATGTGTTGTATAATCACAAAATCAATATCTGATTGATCGTCAGGAGTAATAGCCTATCAACACTAAAGGCAGACGGGAAAATGGAAATACTCGAGTAAACTGCACGTGCCTCAAAATTGTACTTAAGCACAGTACTTGAGTAAATGTACTTATTTACACTAAGGTTTTTATCTTTACTGCAAATTGAAAATCAGTTTCCTAATAATCTGTATCAGCCCTAAAAAAAACTGCATCAGTCGATCCCTACCATACTGTGGTACTATTAATGCCTCATAATGAAGGAAACAATCAGAGGTACACCTTTAGATTGTCAGTGAATGTATCGGAATATACAAAGAGGATTTTTTTTTTTACTGTGAAGCTTCTTTTTATGAATACGGCTCAGAGAAAAGCAGATAGCAGACAGAATTTGTAGAAATTGATTTCCTGGAGTGCTGCAAACTGTGGTGTAATTTGATAGAGGAGTGGAGTGTCTCAACCTCTCAGACCCAAGTTAGGCTTTTTAAGATCACACCACAAAAAGCTACCCCATTACAGTAACTGGAGCAAAATGTAATCTGTTACTTCTGCTGTGATGTGTCATTACTGTCACCTCTTTGCCCTCAGCAGTCGGGCGTGTTGATTTGGTGTGTTGGGGTTTTGGATGGTGCCTTCAGCTCTCTAATCCAGAGAGCAGAGAGGTGCTGCTGTCGCTGACAGACTGACTGACAGGCAGGCGGCGAGGACCCAGCTGTGATGGCTGGTGTCGGCTCAGTGGCAGCCTTATGATGAATTGCCTCTCTTGAATGATAGCGCTGTTACTGAATGATACTGACGCAGGATTGTTCTGTCAGCATCTCACCGGCGACCGCAAATAAAGAAATAAATAAATAAGCGAGAAATGAACCGCTATGCAACTTGCCTCCCCATCTTTTTATTTTTCATTAAAGTTGCCACCTCTCATAGATCTCCATATGCAGCGATATGGAACTGGAAGTTTGTGCAGAAATACGGCAGAGGAAATTGCCTTGTAGAACCACGAATGTGGCTGAACTTTTGAGTGATTGAAAGCTGCCTCTTGTTTGTTTTTTACTTTTATATCTAGCAGAGTATATCTGGACAAATACTGTGTTTTTCTTTATTGTCACTGCATAAATTAGATGTGATTGCATCATGAAAAATATGACTTTGATGTTCTATATTAATTCTGAAAATAAGCTACATTTACATTTACTTAGTGCAATATAAATGTATTATTTATTCATTTACACATGCTGATATTCACCTTAGTGTTCTGTCTGTTTGCAGCTCAGATGACTACTATGAATACGGACACAGTGGGGAATCATATGATTCGTATGGTGAGTTGCAGACCTCTCTTCCTCCTGTATATCTTGTGTCAATTGTCAGAACAGCAATTTCTACTTCCCGACTGTGCACCGGAAGCTTCATTTCATAGGCCATAACTTATTATTCAACATATTCATGTTTTACAATACCCCTTCAGTTCATTTGGCTCATTAAGAGAAAACAATGGCACTAAAAACCAGGAAACATTAACAAACTACAGGAAATGACACACACACAAAAAAAAGATTTTGAAACAATTGCGCACCAAATCTGAGTTTTGAAATCTTATCTTTATGTTTTTCTCAAAGAAAAACAAAAGACATTTCTAACAGAAACCTTGCCCACTGACTTAAGTGATTTTTGAAATTTAGGTTGTTTACTCCAAAAAACAGGGCTGCCCTGGAGCACTGATAATTCCCTTACTGTACTTCAGAGGAGAAAAGAAAGTGTCAAAACCAGGGAAACTTTAACAAGCTGATACTGGAGCTCCAGAATCACTTTAAAATCTACTTTGTTTTTCTTTGACTTCACTAAAACGGCTGGAAGTACACATGAAAAAGAACCAGCACTTCAATCGACCATAAACAGCTAGTTGGGGTGCTCATATCTTATCCTACAGCAAAAGGTCATTCATAATTACAGAGATTAACTCTACTAAGTCTTTTGACAAATGTGAAAATGTTTCGGAGTCTGTGTGTAAACAGAATATATTAAATGTGAGTTAATATGGAGTTTTTAATGCTTTCAGTGTGTGCAAAGGCCTTGAAAAGATTATTAGCAGACTATAATGACATTTGCCAGGATGTCTATATGAAGGTTAGTCTTGGTCAGGTTCATCATGCACATATTCATATGCATGTACCCCTATCCCCAGCTAACCAAACTCTACCCTGCAGTTTGATACTGTATATCACTAAAACCTCACCAGCTCCGGTCGCCACAAAATTCAGACAAATTTAACGCCACCGAGATACTGTTCAACAATACTGTGTCAGCTTTTGACTAGATACAGTGAAAAAGTGGGCCAAGGTCATATTTGCTGCAGAGTGCACTTGAATGATAGTAGAGCTAATATACAGTGCAGCACAGGAGGCCATGCTGCTGAAGGTTGATCCTTTTCTAATCACGTTTGTGTGCGAAGTGAAAAATAAGTAGAAGAGGAAGTTAAGTCGTCTCTGGTTCTGGTGTGTACATTTTAATTATTTCAAACCAAATCTGTTCTGACAGTGCAGGTGAAAATATAAGATCAGTGTTAGATTGATTTGGATTGTGATAGATTAGTCTGTCTGCTGAGCTCAATCTCAGACATTTTACTTTACCATTTCTAAGTGTTTTAGAGATTTCTCAAAATAGAATGAAAGTGACAGATTTTTGGGGTAAAATGTACATATGAGTACTTATTTGGCAAGAAAAGGAGAATCCTCTGCATCAGAAGGATATCATATTTTGAAGACTTACTGTGCATGCGTTCACTTCCTGCTTTAGTGATTAGAATTTTTCGGAAGTCAAAGCTAATAAAAACTTTCCCAACTTTTCTGGCAACACAAGTGGAAGAACTAAGCACCTTCAACTCATTAGAGTGCTGCGTACCTCCACACAGAAATAAAAGACGCTGCCACATGGGTCACACAGAAAAGGGGCGACAGTTCAAAGGAAACAGATAAACAGCGTTGATGTGCATCCTTGTTCTCGAAACACAAGGTTACCTTGGTCTGTTTCTTCAAAGTGACTGTCAGTGAAAGGGTGACAGGTTTAATTAAGGGGTATTGGCTATGTGCTGCCAACAGAGAGCCTGTACTCTACAGAAAAAACAACAACCCTTTGTGAGCCTCAGCTCTAGGGAAGTCTCAGCGCTGGCTGAAGATCAGACAAAGGGTGCCATCGATACTGGCACTTTCACATTGACAGTACCAGGGGGTGAGCAGGGGCTGATTTGGGCTAATGGTAATTGTGACCTTTTTGCTGGGAGCCACTAAACGGGTCCTTTTCAAGTAGCTATTTGATCCTCTCATTCAATTATCTGAGATGCATCCTTCCAGGTGAAAGTCAAGCTTCTTGGGGTGAGTCGCTGTTTGTATCCCCGGCTTGAAAACAGCGCTTTTGTTATGAGATGAGCAGCATCGATACCCGACAATCAGAGCGCTCACAACTTTCCTTTCGCATTATTTTCATCGAAGGGAGCATATTTACAATATTTGCATAAAGCTTAAAAGACTTACACGGGTTGTTATGAATGAATGATTTAAGTATACGCCTCTGTAATCACTCCCCATCTGTTTCTTTTCCTTTCTTCTTCAGGTCTGGAAGAGTGGGCAAACAATCGCGGCAAGGCACAGTCTGCACGAACAACCAAGGGAGCGTACAGAGATCAGCCATACTCCAGATATTGAACTGTTTATACAACCCGCACCTGAGTCCTCATGGCTGTTTCAACCCAAGTAATGGATTTTTTATGGACGCTCCCACCTTTTTAGAATCGAAAACTAAACCGCAAAATAATACAAATGAAACCGTGGTAGTGAGACACTGAGTGAGTTAGAACTGGTTTTCAAAAATGGCATCCCCCTGATTATAAAAACATGCTCCCACTGGGTAAAATGTGTAATGCAATTGAGGTATCCTTTCCTCCAGGAGAAATCGACTGGATGTTGAGACTAAGAAAGACTCCATAGTACATTAAGTTTCTCTCTCAGCTCTGTGATTGTGAAGAATGACATTGTATCAAGCTATTTTACTTGGTAATGATTAGTGACTCACTATAAGCTGTCGATACAATGTTTCTGCACAGCTGCCAGTGCAACTTAATTTATCACCCTCTATTCTTCAAACCTTGAACTGCGTGGTTGATCACTTTAAAATGTAGTAGCTTAGTTCTAGGAAAGTGCAGTACTGTAGATATTCTTTCTGAGGGGTAATTGGTGAAATTGTGTCCCTTGTAAATCAAACATTTAAAAACTGAAAAAGAGAAAAAATCATACTGTATACACATTGTTTTGCTGTTTCCTCCTTTTTGTAATATAATAGTTCTTTAGTGTTAAAGGGCTTATAAAAGCATGGTGTGCAACTGTGGATATTGTCAGCTGTTTTATTCTGAAAAAAGCCTATGTAGTTGTGTTCATGATTATGGCCCCAAAACATCCATTTTAATACATCTATAAATAGCTGCTCATACTTTCTGTACACCGAACAACCAGAGCTGCAAAACAGTCCAGGAGCTTTTTAATTTTTGTGATTCTTTTTAGATGCTCTAAATAAGTAATTTTGATGTCATTCTTTGATTTAAGACGAGATACTGATTTTGTAGGCATAATAATCAATTTTAAGATACTAAATCACATCCTGGTGAATTGGTAGCCATTTCCATCTAGAGATTTGTTGAACTATATTGATTCTGAGCTTATGTAAGCCCTTTAATATTTTCTTCTTTGTTGATGCTGAATAAACATTTTGAAAGAAAACACTTGTGTTGGAGAGAATAATTATGGACTCATAAAAAGCCTTTATAATTTAAACTAACAAACCAATATGAAAAAGCTAGATAAGTTTGGAATATCCACTAGACAGAAGCTTGTAATGAATTAAAACACAATGCATATCGTCATAACTAAGTGAGAAACAAAATAAAACAACATATGTTCCTGCAAAAAATCCAAAGTGGTAACAATAGCATTACCAAAAACACTTACAAACAGTGCAAATAGCAAATGGCTGTTTGTGACCTTGTAAATGACCTTAGTAATCTGATAAGAATGGTTTCCTATTTGTATTTGGGCGCCATGTGATGCATTTTGTAGGAAATCTCTCCGACTGAGATTTGGAGGATTTAGCGATAACGACATTGCCACTCTTGAAACTCTCTCCACTCTGTTTGTTCACATAATTCGATGTGAAGCGAACGCTGATCACGTCAAGCATCATCAGTAAACACGCATTAACTCTCTGAGTGTTTACCCTGACACAGACGGCTCGTAACGCTGCATCAAAGCCTCCTTGACCTCTAGGCCATGTTCGGTTCGGTACACGGTGGGTGGGGGGGTGGATTGCACTCTCTTCTTGTTTTGCTCTTTCTGTTCTCCGGTCATGTGACCCTCTCCCAGTCGTTTAAAGAGCCTGCCTTTGCCCCGTCCATTAAAGAGACTCTAAATGACCCCCAGCTGACCTCCGCAGAGAGAGGATGGCAGTAGCTGTTTAAAAAGACCTCCGTCCCACAAGGTAAACAACCTGACCCAGTTTAACCTCTCCCCTAACGTAGTTGAACATAAAACCTCTCTAAACTTAAATGTAATATGTTTTCCTGTCTCTGTTAAGTCCGTAATCTATGCACAAAGCTGGGAATAATTAGATATCTGTAACAAAAAACTGTAAAAAAAGTATGATAAATAGCAGTAATATTTCAACGAACTGTATAGTGAAATAACTTTATACTAAGACTTTGATAAAATATATCCTCTGTTACAATAATTGAACCATAAAATATTATGTGTCTTGGCATTTGTTTTCATATTAGTTATAAAATATGCTCATGTGGTGAACCTGCGTGGTCATAGTGTTGTTTATATTCCCCTTCTAGGTTGACCTCCCGGCTACACCAGGCCATCCATCCAATTATCTCATTGGTGCTAAAGGTATGTTGTTTGAAGTGCCATTACGCTTCTGATGTTTACGATGATGTTTTGCATGTGAACATTAAAATAGACTGAAAGTATGGGGACGAATAAGGATAAAACTTAGCTTTGAGGTTGGATCTGGTGAATCTTAAGGATTCTTGAGTAACTTCCAAGAAGGCTGCAGAAAAATGGCAAACAGCTTAATTCCAGTTTTTCAAATGTTAAAAGACACATGTTATGTATTTTCTTGCATGTCAACATAATGCAGTTAACCTATAAGGGTCAAATAGTGGCCAAAAAACTTCTAGGTTGGGGATTCAAGAACTCCAGAAAATGGGCAATAGCTTCATTTTAGTCTTCATATGTATTAATCTTTAAAGCCCAAACAGTTAAATAAAGATCTCTTTGGTGATTTATAGGCAAGTTAACATGATAATATACTGGAATTATGGGATCAAATAAAGGTCAAAAATATTGAATGCTTAAAGGTTGGATCTGGAGACCCTTGGGGATTCTTGAAAAGGTTCCCAGAAATCTGCCAAAATATGGGCAATAGGTTAATTCCACAGTTCTTTCAAGTATTCAAAGATAAAAGTTATGTGTGTGGTGTCTATGATGGTTTTGTGTATGTGAACATTAAGATATACTGACACCGTGGGTTCAGATATGATATCTGAGCTTCAAAGCTTGATCAAACGAACCTTCCAAATTTTTGAAAAGGTTCCATGACTACAGAAAAAATGAGACTAAATAAATATAGCTGTTATTTCAATTATTCAAATATGTGTGATCTTGGTCTAACCATGCAATATAAGCAGTTATATAAGGGTGAGGGTAAGGGGTTACAGCTAGGGTAGTAACAGTCTAACAACAGAAATCCTCAAAGATGAAGGGCTGACCCTCAGAGAAGATCCCAAATGAGGGTCTAACCGGTTTGGGTGTGGATTTGAAAACCCATAGGAGGCACAAAATGAAATATTTTTCAGAGGACACAGTGTTATCATGACATATTAAATATTAATGTGACTTTGAGGCAAGTTGATGTTCTCTTGACGGATGTTTAATGTTAAAAATATTTTTTCTGGGGCTTGTGAAATCCTTCAGAATCGCCCCTAGTTTGGAGGCTCGACCCTCAGCTCTCCTGTTATACCCTTCCACAATCCCCTCAAGGGGATACCTGTCCTGACGGACTCTCTGCCTCACTTTGTACCTATGCAATTAGTGTATAAGAGCACTGTCATCTGAACCACAACGGAGTCCCTGTTGCTGCAGTTTTAAAATGACACCCCGTGCTTGTATTAAGTAGAGGAAAGTAATGCCTGACTGCGTTGCCCAAAAAATCCTTGAACCAGAGTGTGATGATAGGACAATCCTGAAAAATGCCTTTCTTTTCTTTGCCGTTTAATTTCTTTTTTTAAGCTAATATTGTTTGTCTTTCTCTTCTTTCCTCTCTTAATAGACTTGACAAACCACACACGAGCTTCCCTCCAAACATTCAAGCCCACGCAATGTCAAACCAAATCCCGAAAAAGTCCGTCCAACTTCAAAAAGGGTCTGCCCTTGGTCAGGCGTTGGGCATTCAAATTTTCCCAGTCTGGACTGAGATGAATCCTGAATCCTACGGGGGACAAGATGGAGTGACCCTTTCAGACTCAGAAAAAAAAGAAGGGAGGAAAAAGATAATAGATGTATCACACATCGTCATTCTCCGAAGAAAAGGGAGGGAGAGAGGAAAACCCGCGAGGCAAATGGAGTTCCTCATCCTCTGGGACGATCTGTCGGAGTATATTTCCTTAAGAGCTTCACCGGCTCTGTATACATTTTACATACACACAGGAGTGCTCTGAACTGACTGTGAACCTGCCCTGTATCTTTCTTCATTCAGCCTGTTGTCTAACACTTACATTAGACATTAGCTGTCGCCTACCAGAGAGGATGAGTAAATAAATAATGCAATATGCTAAAAGAATGAAATCATATTTCTAGCAAAGACACTTCTGATCTCATATTGTTGTGCTCATTAACCTATATCCAATACACACGATGAATAAATAATTCACCAAGTGCCTTATTGTTGCATTGTTGTGACAGTTTATAATGTTTAGTGCCATTGCCAGAGTTGAATTATGAGGCAGTACGCAAGAAAAGGTAGCTATTTTTTTCTTCCTTCATGCTGTTTTTTTTGGTTTTCTGTATGCATCACTACAATGCTGGAAAACACCACCCAGGCACACACAAGGGTACAGTCTATTCCAGATGTATTGCTTAATCAGAATCGACTTCAGTGGATATTACAATTCCAAAATAGCTTTCTATCGGATAGAGAGCTTCATTCTGTCTTGTGCATAAGTCCAGATAGGCTGATCCGTATTCCACACAGTTGTATGTCCTCAGTGGCAGACAATAGTTTTCCATTAGAGGAAGTGATTCTCTCTGGAGCCTCGGGCCAAGCCTCACACAATAACACAGCGACCTAAAGCTTGCATCTCAGGCTCCCAGAGTCAACTCTCATCACCTCCGGGGGTTGATTCCCCCTCTGAGGTGGCTTAAAACGACAGGCTTATCTGAAGTAAGCTTGTCCGAGTTAATAAAGTAAGAGCAGCTTATTTGATTAAGAATGCATACAAAGGAAGCTGTAGTGATCTGTCACTGGGAGACATGTCCATTTCAACACTAGAATACGAATCAATGGGCTCCAAACGTTGGGTACTGGGACCATTGGAGGTCTTTTAAAAAGGCTTCAGAGGATCTGGAGCAAAATTAGAAATAGCTTAAAGACCACAAAAACCTATTTACTCCATCCGCTTCTTACGATGACTCATGAGGTCGTGCATGAACACTATGTCCTACCAAGATTTGAACAGTTTTGGTTCCATCAAATAAGAGATTCCTGTATTGTTTATTCATCATTACTTTGTCCCTTATTTTAGGTAGGCCGTTGGAAATCCAGATGGCACGCATTTCCATGCACCAATCAGAGTTCAGCAACATTTGAATCTGAATGTGATGACATTTCAGATCAGAGGACATCTAAACAGTCCTGATAAAGCAGACTAGCTAAGTAGGAGCGGGAAAATCCGTCATTAGTTTTCTTGCTGAGAGTTTGACAAGAACATTGATACCACTCACATGTCTGTATGGTAAAAATGTAGCTAGGGCCAGTTAGCTTAGCTTAGCATAAATACTGGAAACGGGAAAATGGCAAGCCTGGTTGTGTCCAACAATAAAATCCACTTACCAACGCCTCTAAGGCTCACTAGCTAACACACCACGTCTCATTTGTTTAATCCATACAAAAACCAAAAGTGTACAAACACTATTTCTTGGCCATGACCAGTAGCCTAACTTCCTTGAGTGTCCACTGGTTGCATGGTTATTGGTGGAATTGTTGTTTTACACCTTCTAAACAAACTAATATGTATATAGCGTTATTTCTTGTATTGATGGATGGCAGATTTCGTTACCTTTAGACAGCCAGGCTGGCCGTTTCCTCCTCTTTCCAGTATTTATAATAATGATAATAATAATAATAATAAGTCTTATGTTTACCAAATAATATCAATCTTCTTATCTAACTATCAGCAATAAAACAAATTTCCCAAAATCCCTTAAAGCTGCTGTAAGCAACTTTTCATGAAAACATGTTTTTGTCAGTTTTTCTGAAACTTTCACTATATCCTGACAGTAGCTCATGACACAGATAATCTGTGAAAAAATCCGGTTCCTCTGGCTCCTCCTAGTGCTCCTAATGATATTTGTAAGAATTCACTAGGCCTGAACGAAAACAACCAATCAGAGCCGAGAAAGATAGTTGATTGTTGAATCTCCGAGGGCATCAAATTTGGGACCCTGGGACTCAACAATCAACTGGGCCTGGTGGATTCTCACAAATGTTACTACTGTCAGAACACATTGAAAATGTCAGCACCTACTACAGCTTTCAATACCTAGGATTTTTTTCTGAACTTCAACTTGGATTTTGTTTGTTTTTTACCTTATTTAGTCTTGAAAATATTAGAAATAATTGATTTATTTAATAAGATTTGAAACCAACTCAGGGGCTTCAAAGTTACTATGTGTATAGCGTGATTATAGATATATATGATTATAGTAGCCTTCAAAACATGGTAATGGTTTAAGTTGTGTTTGTTGGAACATAAGATAATACAGACAGTGAAAACTGGTGCAGTCTATGTGTTTCTTTTAGCCATTTTTGTCCCTGCCCTATCTGCCCTAGTAAATAACTTGAGTAAAGGTCAATTATATCTGTCCTTTTTTGGCTTTCAAAAAGTAAATGGCTTTTGATTCTGTGAAGTGTGCTTATCCACTTGTATTCCTCTTAATCATGTTCAGGATCTAAAGTGGCCGCCTCCTGCCTTTTGTTCTATAATTAACTGGAGGGCTCTTAATCTTACTGAGATTAAAACACCCTGATCAATGTTGAAGTGTCCCTCTGTCTCTTTTAGAAGTGAGCGCTAATGTGACCACGGGTCAGTGTGCGTGGCCTGCTAAATGGAAACTCGGAGTGAGAAGGATCGATCATCACGGGGCTTTGAGGGAGCAACAGCAATAATATACTGAATGTAACACCATTATGGAAATCTTTCAACATCAATACACCCATCAAACTTTTCTTTTATCTGGGAAGTGTAATTATTTATGTGGTTAGCATTTTAGTGACTTTTAGGGCAAAGGAGCACATATTAAAAATATCAGAGAAAAGGGTTAGTCACAAGCAAATACAAAAGACCGAGAAAAAATAGAAGGGAAAACAAAAGGTGAGGTGAGAGCAAGTGCACACGAATAGTAAGAATGAAAGGAAATGCTTTGTACGCGGGAACAAGACTGAAAAATAAAACTTTTTTAATACAACTGTAAGCCAAATCAATATATGTACTTGTGTACCATACGCTGTGTATAAATTGTGCATATTGTACATCCTGTTTCTGTATGATTTCCATGTGCTGTTATGCGTTAAACTCACTGTGTCGATAGATAAAGACATGTTGAGGCTGTAGATATCCTTAACAGTAATAAAAAAATTATCTTCTTCATAAAAAAGCCTGATAAATATTCTTTTGTGAGTGTTTTGTGATTGTGCAGCACCGACTACAATGTGAAGCTCCCTTTGACACCGCACTTCTAAGTCAGTATATGTTCACCACGCTGTGTCATGTCGGGAAACGAATCATAAAGGCAATTCCACTGTCCCAACTGTTTAGGATTGACACTCTGTAATGAAATGTGAACTAAATATAGTTTTATTAACTCCGAGGGGGAAACTCATGATGAGTTTTGGCAGTTGGCATGTTTTTCTAACTTCAAAAACCCACCACTGCAGGGATATTATTTACCTTGATACGCCCTTGAAATAATAGTTGCAGATCAAATAAGTTTGTGTTGCAAAGGCTGTCTCAGTCTCCAACCTTTTAAATATTGTATGTTCTCCTCTGCTGCTGCCTTGGATACATCTCTCTCCTCATGTAAATGCTGCTGTTCTTTATTCTTTCTGCTATTTCTCCCCCCTGCTTTAATCCTTCAGGCCGATCCACTTTGAAGTTGTTTCTCAGCTGTGTGAAATTTGAGATTAAAGTCCATCTGTTCATGCCCACCCATCGATACATACACAGATATAAACAAAAACAAAACCAGACAAAAAGGGGTTGTTGTTTTTAATGGGTCAAAGGCAGCCGTAATATGATTGAGCCAGAAATGGTAATGGACCAGTTGAGTGAGCGCTTTCAGCCTCACTGGATCGATTACACCTGACACAGGCCATTGCAGACAATGAATTTCATATCTAATTTTTATTTATTCATCAGCACGGGAAAATAGGGCTGTCAAGGCCAGAATCTTTCAAAGGACTGCGCAGTCCTCAGCGCCTATAAAGGAGTGTCTGGGCTTGTGTGTGTGTGTGTGCATCGCAAACAAATCCCCTTTTTTATTTTCTTTCAGGTGAGAATAGCGACATACTATCCCCCAATAAACCCAGTGTGAGCCTGTGGCAATTTTGTTAGTTTTTCCGCTGGTCAGCCTGGTTAATAAACTGATGCATTCTGATGATACCCAGTCCCACCTCTACTGTATTGTTCGCTTTTCATTCCAACTGCAGCGCCAGCGAGGGAGAGCCCTCAGCGTAAATATTCTCTGTAAACCAACAGCCAGGCAGAGCCGGGAGATTAAAACAATTGTTTATGCTTTCCGTGCATACAGGGAGATATAAGCAATATAAGCAGACAGAGTGCTCCAAATGAAATAGCACAGAAATGATGCTATCACATTGCAAGCTCAATATGAATAGACTCATGGGGTGAGAGGATATTGCAAAGACACCATCATGAGGAAAGTTAAAAGCCCATCACCTATAGTGTTTACCTTAACACCTATTTCCACTCATGGAACATTGACCTTCTAAATGACATTTACCTCCTGTTTAGCTGAGCGTGTTTGGCATTTAAAATGTCCTTATTCAGCCACTACACCTTTACTCTGCCCAGGAACATGGTAAATAATGGAGGAAAGAATCAATGTGCTACCCTGTTATTCTAGGGGAAAAGTCTGATTACACTTCACATTGCTTTAATTGTAGTGTATTTACGTGTACTGTATATTAGCATTGGTAAAATGTTGTAATTAGGAAATTATAGACTGTGTTCCTGCGAAGTGTTCTTGCAGTAGTGCAAAACTAGCAGAGTACAAAATTGAATGCACTAAATGGCTACTTACAGTGTGCAGTAAAACTCCATATGACTGGCTGTTATTGGCAAAGTCATACTGTGATGATCCTCAGTCATTTTGAGGGTGATAAATAATTACAGAAAGTAGTTTAAGGAGCCAAGGAGTTGATTACTGGGAGGTTGCGGCTCCAGGAACGAGCAGGTCATCCATTCATCAGTCGGCGGTTCGACCCCCTCCTCCTGTCCACGTGTTGAAGTGTCCTTGAGCAGCGTGGCCAGGCCAGCGTCTGCCATGGCAGCATGATGGGTGAAGAAGAGGCACACTGTAAAGTGCCAATGTATGGAATGGAACCTTTTTTTATATATATATATCATACTTTGTTATGGCTTTATAAGGCTTAAATAATGGCTTTCTTATTGGATAACCAACAACGCGTTATAATATTTTATAGATCCGTTATAAACCATTAAAGAATACCTTTGGGTTGCAAGGTTGTCATCCATCAGAAGAGCCCTCCCATGAACAGAAAACGTACCGTCTGGAAAATAATCTGTTACAAATGTTTATTCCTCCACTTTTATATTTGGCTGACAGTATACATACTACAAAATATGTAAAGAACAGACACTATACAGAATATAGGAGTGTGTACTCTAAGTGTGAGTGATGGAAATACACAGAAAAATGTTGTTCTCAGTCCCTGGCTCTTGTGTTGTGTAGAAGCCTAAAAGTTCTTAATTTATGTAGACAGAGAACTAACAGTATCCCAACGGATTAATGCAAAACCGGGGGGACCATCATGAAACCAAAAAAATATTAAATGTAAATTTCCTCCCTTTTTGTGATTTACAGAGCAGATCATTTATGATGGAATATGTAGAATATATAAGAGAAGTGGTAAGAGAAGGAAGGTCGGAGAGTGAAGAGGTGAAGAAGGGGCTATTATATGGATAACGGATGGCAGCAAAATGGCCTCTGAATCAAGCAATACACAGTGTCACATCCAGGGTGCAGCAGGCAGGACTGAACAATTTGATCTTATGCTGTATTAGCTGGATGTCCTATGTAGGACTGAGAATCTGCCCCACTGGGGTCCGGGAAGGAGAGTTTGGAGCTGATTTTGGCAGTAGCTCAGCCTATAGGGTTATGGCCTCAACACACACCATAGCAGCCATCTGCAGCGTGCAGCTCCTATAGGTTTGTATAATGAAATATTACCAGCTTTTAACATTAAAGACTTAAAGGATTTTGATTAAAAGCCTTCATTAATGACTTAATTAAAACTTAGTCTTATTAATGGCTTATAAATAAATATAAAGCCTAGGTAAATTTTTTATTTCCCATTATTAAAACCATTACTTACAACTAATAAACCCATTATAAAGGCTGCCTTATTAGAGTATAAGTATGTGGTAAGTGGTACCAGTAGAACTCCTGACATGGCTTTAGTCTGCTGTCAGTCATTCCTGATGGTTTGATTTTGTCTCGGGCTTTAGGGCAATCCCCTCGGCAGCCGGGTGAACACGACCCGGCTTTAGCGTTACATCAGTGTTGGATGAGATGATGAAACTGTCAGCGCTCCTTTCTCTCACTGTCCTCGGAATAAAGGTACAGAGATGGACCTCCTGACCTCCGGGATTGTCCGTCTGTGTGTGCCTGTTTTTATTCTCACAGAGCACTGGATGATTTCATGCACTTTCATCCTCTCTTCAGACCGGCTTCTGCATTCCTCTGACTTTCTCCCGTCCATCTTTATGTTTCTCTCTCTTTGTTACTTTATGTCAGCCTGACTATTTTGATAGTCTCATAGCAGTGGAAATGTAACCCCCGGGGCATTTGACCTCTAACAGCCTAACAGTGTGTGTACTCAGAATATTTCTATGGGTTTAAATTACGCATTGAAATTCTCCCTCAGATACACATTCTTTTGTGCAATGTATTGAAACAGGGCTGCTGCTGGCCATTTGGATGCCTGCTTTGTGGTGCCTGATGTCCAGTACATGCCTGACATCTGAATTATTAATTATTAGTTATTAGTTATTCTATATATCAGGGTTTTCCCTCAGTTTTTTGGAGGGCTTAGATGCTGCAGTTGCAGTGGGGGATTGTATGGTCATGGGGTTTTCAGGGTCCTTTTTTTCAAGAAAATTAGATGTTATTTGACTATAAATTATGCATTTTCACATAATTTTAGACTAATATCATTAATATTTATTTTAAGGTCCCCACACAGGTTATAGTTTTTCACATTACAGCTCTTTTTTCTCTACTTAAGAATTGTTGTTGTTTTTTGAAGTAATTTTAAAAAGAAGTATGAATTCAAAACAGGATTAAACTTAATTCATATTTAAAATATGGCCAAAAAATTCTAAGAAAGCAACAGATCTAGACAGGGGCAGATCTAGAGGGCCAGCATGCTGGGCAGCTGTCACCCCAGTTTAGTGTAGAATTCATAAAGATTCATTTTTTAAATAATTGTTAAAAAACAAAAATTAATACATTTAATTGAATGATATGTTATGGCCACATTTTAGACTAAGTGATAGGCGTATGTTCAGTGAAAAAATGGAGAAAAGAATGTCTGAAGATTTGGAAATAAAACAATTTATCGATTTCTAATGCCACTTTTAGATATTTATGTCCAATGCTTTACTAATGTGCTACAATAATGTAATGTTTTTGAGTTCAAATATCTTCATTTGGGGAATTTTCCTAGCAAATATTGATAGATGTGATTGTCTGTGCTTAAATCATTATATATTTCTGCCACCCTCTGGCTATCCCATGAATTTTTCTCTATTCAATTCAATTTTTCAATTCAATTTTATTTGTATAGCACCAATTCAGAACAGAAGTTATCTCACCATACTCCTTAAATAAAATAAAATAAAAAATCTAAAATGATTTACAGAGACCCAACAGTTCCCACAATGAGCAAGCACTTGGCAACGGCAGCAAAAAAAACCTTCCTTTTAAGAGGCAGAAACCACGGACAGACGCTGGCTCTCTCTAGATCTGCCCGTAGCAACAGTCACTGTACACACTCAAAATATCTCACTGGAAAACGAGTGAAGTTTAGAAAGGATGAAGAACAGACATCAGTCAGGGTCAGTCCTTCATCCCGTCCTCTGTCCTCCCCTGATTTAATTCAACAAACTGGATCTTTAAAACATCAGGAATAATACTTTCAATAATACATGTATCAATACATGATCCCCCAACCACATCCACAGTCCATTCTTTGGTAGTAAAAGCAGCAGAGCAGCTTCACTGTCTACAAAGGATGCATTCAGACTGTCTTGATGAGTGAGGTGAGTGTTTGCCCCTGTGCCACCACAGCTCAGTTGCTACACAGACTGTAGCAGCAGT